AATTACTATGCTTGGTAATAACATAACTTCATATTATCAATTTATTGGAGAGTCAATTTATGAGAGCTAAGAAAGATTTAAGGAGGTTCTTAGAAAGTTCCCTCGTCATATTTTTCCTGATTAGTTGGTTATTCATACTTTTTATAATAGCCATGTAGGATCTCTTAAGCCTATAATTGATATGACAACTAGAGGTTCTTTAATGTCAAAATCTTTTGATGAAACTTATGCCTTGATAGAGGAGATGAAAACAAATAACTTACATTGATCTTCTGATAGGGTGAATCCTAAGAGAGTAGTCAATGCCTATTAGTCAAATGTTTTATCAATTTTGACTGCTCAAGTAGTTGTTATATATAAGAAGCTAGATAATTTCAGAGTTGTACAAGATCAGGATCATCCATGCTTTTGGAGGACAATGATTTGAATGTTGTTAATGAGTCTGTAGCTCAAGGGGTTGAGAATGCAAATGTAATTGGAAGGCAAAATAATATATATTCTAATACTTATAATTCATGTTTAAGGAATCACCCAAAATTTAGTTCAAGTAATGATAATGGTGGAAATCAATGAAATGGAAGTCAATCAAACTCTGGAGAAAACTGAAATAATCCTCAACAATCTTTAGTGAACCTTATACCTTCTTATCCCCCAGGCAGTGGCGGAGCCAGAAAATTTTATCTGCGGAGGCACAAAATTATAACTTTAAAATGCCTCAAACTTTTTCATTTTAGCTTGAAATTGATATTATGATTTTATTTTTTATTATTATTATTTTTAATTATAAGAAGATAAATTTTATAATAATAAAAAAATATTATCATGCTTATCTAAATCAATTTCAATACAAATTTATTTAAACTACATATTATCATACTAATCTATTTCAACTAATATATATATATATATATATATATATCTAAAAAAATATTTTACAACGAGCAATAAATATATAAAAAAACTACATCTTATTATAATAAAAGTATACTAAAAATATATAAAAATTTATGATAAGTATATTTTAAGCTACTTGATTTAAATTTAAATATTATAATTCTCCTCTAATGTAATTTGTTAGCTTTAATTACATAAATCTCCTATAAACTAAAATTTGGAATTTTTTAAATAATAAAAAAAATGAAATTTTTTATTTTCAAAAAAAAAATAGTACTGTGAAGTTGAAGAGAAAAGTAGTCTCATCCCTCATGGAGAGAGAGAGAGAGAGAGAGAGAGAGAGAGAGAGGAGTGAGAGCTAGGAGCTAGTTGAGTAGTTTACCAGGTATTAAAATAAAATGACAAAGAAAGAGAGAGAGAGAAGGAGATGGAAAGCGCTCCATATATTGCACTTTGATAGCTAAGTTCACCAAAATAAAAATAATAAAAATTATTATTATTTAAAATTAAGAATAATACACCATTATAGGTGCTAAATTGAATGAACAAATAACAATTATTTTTATTTGAAAGTCATAACAATCAACTAAGAAAATTATCTAAGTTAATACTTCATTTTGAACTTAAATGCTATACACTTAAGCACGTACTATTAGGTATAAGATTGAATAACTAAATTTATGAAGAGGGAGTGCTTATATTAAGTAATAAAAATCATTATAAACTCCAATATGGAAGTAGTGAACTTATAACAATCCTTGTATTATTTCAATTTAGGATAACTTGAAGGAAAAAGGTAATCATATGTTCAAAATCATATATTCAAAATCATTACTTTCGTAGTTTAAAAAGAAACACACGAAGAAAAAGAAAATCAAAAAGAAAGAAGGGAAAAGAAAAATGAGTACATCAAATATAAAAAAATGGTATATGATGTAACTACATTCCTAAAGGATTCTAATACTCAAGTCAACTAGAGAAACATAAGTAAATGAATACATATGAAGGATTACAAATGAATTTCAAAATTAGCTAAGGTACAAATAATTTTTAAATGATACATTATTCATGTCTAAGATCAATTTTCAAACTTGCACTTACACTTGTTGTAGTTGAGTACAATTTATATATTAACAAGAATAATGTATAAGGGTAAATATTCATGATTTTTTAAATTAAAATGGCTACATCTTGATCATTACAAGTTATATCTAAATGGTAGAGTATTATATTATAGTTTAATTAATTTTAAAATTATAAAATTTTTATTTGGAATAATGAAGCTAATCAAAGATGTAAACACAATTTCTTAAGGATAAAGAAGAGCTTAAGTTGGGGGAAATTTATTAAGTAAGATTTTAATATGTGTATTTTAGTTGATGTTATGCGGGAATGTCTCAAACAGAAATAAATTTGTAAAGTTTAGAACTAGCGTTGTAGCGTCTTCAACTCACTGGCACTGATCTTGGACATTACATCATCAGAGTCTCTAGAAAATTTTACTAAAGTCAGTGCCCCAGCGGATTGAAGGACAACACCGAAAGTGAACATAGTAGTGCCAGAGTCTCAAAAAAATTTTAAATAATTCAACATCGAAGCGTCAAACTATGAAACATCATAATGCTAGGAAACACAATCATAGCAATACATAGATAATACACAGTAATACCTAGTAATACTTAGTAATACACTAGTCTACGCATCATATTTTCATTAAAGTGCGGGCATAGCTACACGCTCAATATCCGCACGTTAAAATTTCTCCTAATAAAAACCCATCATACGATAACTACACCAACCATCCCATCGCCCTAACTCCTAAGCCACTAATCTCCCTCACCCACATCACCATACAATTTTTCAATCTTCATAGCCTGTCATTGAACACTACGGCAATGGTTGTCATCCCCAAATCCACCTTAGAAGAAAACCATACATCTCATTAAGATAAATGGCGAAGGTCCACCTCCATTTATGTCATGATCTTGCAAATAAATAAATAGCTTAAGATATAAGCTCACGTTCTATCGCCACTTCTATTTCCAATCATGTCACCTGCTTTCGACCATCTAGCTCTTACAAAAGCATGATCATGTCCAACGAGATAGGTAACTCCATTACCAAAGTACAAAGATATAAAAATAATGAAATTTATGTATTAACAACAACAACAACTAGCCTTTATCCCACCACATATCGTCGATTACATAAATACTTTTTCTCCATTATGTATTGTTAAGAGTAAAATTCTCATTTAAATCTAATAAAAATTTTATTTTTAATATTTTCTAACCAAGTCTGTTTAGGTTTACCTCCTCCTCTCTTAACATAGACCAAATCTAATACATCTACTCCCCTAACCGGGTCATCAGAAGGCCACTATTTTATGTGACCAAATCATCTAAGACGATGCTCTCTAATCTTATCTTCTAGTGGAGCTACTCAACCCTTTTCACGTATGTGCTCACTTTGTATCATGTCTCTAAGAGTAAAATCACTTATCCACCTAAGCATCATCATCTATGCAACACTTAACTTAATATTGTGCTTCTCTTTTAATGACTAGCATTTTGCACAATAAAGCATTGCAAGTCTCATCACTCTCTTATAGAATTTTCTCTTAAGTTTGAGGAATATTTTTCTATCACACAACTAGCTTGATGCATTCCTCCACTTCAACCATCCAACTTAAATTCTACTAATAATATTCCAATCTATTTCACTTTCACTCTAGACAATAGTCATAGAATATCTAATATGTGTACTCTTATTAATGTCTTGATCTCCCAAATTCACAACTCTCTCATTAGATTTATTACTACTAAAATTAAATTCCATGTTTTCGATTTTAGATATACTCGAACAAAAACCTTTAAACTCTAACATCAACGTCCATAATTCAAGTTTAACTTGAACTCCCTCTCTAATATTATCAACAATAACATAAGCAAAAAGCATAATACACCAGAGTACAACCTCTTGCAAATGTCTAGCAAGAACGGTCCAAAATTAAAGCACAAATATTTGGGGGTAAGGTTAATCCTTGATGTAATCCAACCGATAGAAAAATACTTGATCAAACCACCTATGCATGAACCGAAGTAACAGCTCCAACATACATATCCTTACTGACTTGAGTATAATTATTATTAAACCTATAATTATTATTAAACCCTTTCTTTCTAAAACTCTCCACAAAATGTCTCTTAGAACTCCATATGCTTTTTCTAACCAAATAAATATCACATATAGATCCTCATTATCTCTATAATTCTCCATCAGACCTCTCAATAAATGTATAACTTCTAAAATAGACCTACCCAACATGAACCCAAATTGATTTTGAAAATCATCAATATCACTTAGTAGCCTATTGTCAATAACTCTCTCCCAAAATTATAAAATATAACACACGAACGTAATTCCTCTATAATTCTCACACTCTTGTGCATCACCTTTACTCTTAAAAATAAGAATCAACACACTACTCCACTCATATGACATTTTTTAATCTTCAAAATAATATTAAAAACTTCTATAAACCAAGAAAATTCTTCATCTCCTAAACATCTCCGCGCCTCTATTAAAATATGATTATTTATTAAATATATAAATACAATAATTTCAACTACTATGTCAGTAAATCCCCCATTTTAAAACCAAAAGATATAAATAACAATAATAGGAACCACTAATCAATCATAGAAGCATACATAAAAAATAAAAAATAAAAAATTTTTCATAAATAATCATTATCAAAACTTGATTTCGCCAATACAGACTTCAACAACATAAGATATAAATTCATGCAATGTTATCCGATATTCCTCCATGAACATCACCTTGCACTGTAGAACCCAAAAAATTAAGCTGAATCTTACAGCTGCTGTGGACTTGGGAAGTTGAAGATCAAATTTCTTCATAATGCCTCCCAGGGGCGGAACCCCCTTGAGCTCAGGTGAGACAATTCAAGAAATAATATATAAAAGTTTATTATATGATTCTTTAGATAATTTGTCCTTCATCTATTTTTTAATCTTTATTACAAAAATTTTTAGACAATTGCCCCCACCTAAAAATTTTAAAATACTATAATACTTAGACAATTGCCCCCAGCATAATTAAACACGTGTAGAGGTGTTATTGTTAGGGAACGATGAACCAAATACAAAGAGAAATAGTACATCAAAATTTGTTCCGAGGGCGCTGTCCCCTTGGACTCCCGATATATCTGCCAATAGTTACTTATAAGTTTGCCCCCCTTGAAAATTATGACTGATTCAGCCCTTGATCCCTCCTACAAAAAATATACAAATTACAATGAAATCAGGAATAATTTTTCATTTCTTGAGTGGGTTCATCCTTTCCCTGAGATAGTACAACTTTGCCCTCCTCACTTTCTTCTTGTCCAAAACCTTCATTTCCTTGATGTTTGGAGAGTACCTGTAAGCAAAACAATGTCCACTTATGAAATAAGCTATAAGATTCTATTGTAGGTGAGATTTGGGATTGAATGGTCTTGGCAAAAGAAAAGTTAGCCACTCCTTACACAAAAATATCTACTGGCATATTAGTAAGAGAAGAAATAACAGCAGGGATTTTCTTATATATCACATGGCACCTAGATCTTTATATTTAGGGACTTGAATGATATATAAATAAATATAAAAATTTAGATATTAGATATGTAAATATGTAAAAAATTTATTATAGGTATATATGTTAATCAACCAAATAAAAATTAGTAAAAATTGAGAGAAAAATTTCAAGTTTTTCTCTTTACATCATTTTATTTGCAATTCATAATAAATTTAGATATAAAGATTATAAAATATGAGCAAACAATGATGAGATTATATTTGAAACGTTTGAATTGCATCAAGAACATAAAAGAGTTAGAATATGGTAAATACATAATGAGATGCTGCCAATTAGCTCAGCATCCTCAAGAAGAAATCTAACAAAGAAAGCTCAATCATCCTTGTGCGAGCCTGAAAATCAAGTTCTACCAATCCCCGCCTATGTAATAATAGTAATATTTGAAGAGATGAAAGTACTACAGGTGTGAAGATCTAGATTGGCATTTTTTAGTCGGATAAAAAGATGGTAAAAAAATACTATGAAGAGAGTAGACAAGTGAGAGGAGGGTTGAGATTAGGCTTGCTTCCTATGTATTTGATCTTTCCAGACGGATAAAGAGCCATCAAAGTATACAAAGATCTCTCGCTATGGTTTTCAAAGAGCCAAAAGATCCTCGAAATTATGTTATTTAGATATTCATCTACATCAAGATAATGAAGAAAAATGATTCAAGTAACCGACCCCGTGTGGTAAGAACTTGATGTTGTTATTGTTGTATATACATAACAAATTAATTTTAGATATGAACGAGTGTGAAGCACCAAAATCAAAAAGTACACAAGCAGGAACATCTGACATAGTAATCATACCTATCACCACTTCTGGCGACTTATGAGTTTCTTAGGATGTTGACGCAAACACTCAAGCTGGAACCAAGGTTTTAAAAGGCGGAAACGGAAATCGAAGCGTTTTGTCTAAGCGAGGTGAGGCATAAGCCTCCGGGCGGAACAAGACGTAAGCCTCAAAACAAAAAAAAATAAAATACATTAAAATTAAAAGTATAAATAATTACAAAAAAATATTAAGTAAATTATGAACAAAATGATTTATTTAAAGATAATATTATTGGTACACAAGATTCAAAATAAACTCACTTAAAAATAAAACATACCCTTAGGATCAAGGCCCAAGATAGTCTCATTATCATTTTGATTGTCTTCAGAAGCATCTTCATCTATAATATTTTTTCCTTTATCTCCTATATCCGTTAACATTTCATTAGTTCTAAAATGAAAAATAATAAATTGATAACATAAAATAATTTATTATATTTAATATTACCTTTGAATTCTTTTGAAGCTCCAATATCACTCTTTCTTTCTTTTATATACTTGGGAAATAAAAGATAACCCCAATTCGATAAATCATTCAATATCTAAAGTAATTGCTTTATTGTTCTCATTGACATGAGTTTCTCCTTCAACTTTAACTTCAAGAACATCAACACCCTTAGAAGTAACTCATTCATTATCAGATTGTAAATCATCAACATGTAAAAGGTCTTATTCATTATCATTATTTTCTTACTTCTGTAATCTGAGATGTCTACCATTCAAATTTTTGTTAAACATAACATATACTAATTTGTTAATTCGTCCTACAGCCAATCGATTTCTTCTCTTTGTATGAAGTTGATTAAAAGTGCTCCAATAACGATGGCATGCAGAAGCAAAACAAGTTAGGCTAAGAACTTTAACTGTAAATACTTTTAATTCAGGAACATCATTTTCCCACCAAAATTCTACATTAAAATGAAAAGTATATTATAAATATATATTTAAGTAGGAAGCTTGGATATAAACATTAAAATGTTATAAATGTACAAACTATAAACATACCGAGAGATCGTGTTTTGTAGCATGCTTACGCGTCTCAAAATTCAAACATTCTCTTCTTTAAATGAAAATTCTCAAATTGATCATTCACTTTGAGGTAGTCACCTTCAGAAACAAGCATATTCATACATGCATATAAACTAGTTTTTACCTCTTTATCAACATGAAAATCTTTATCATAATGAAATTAAGGATTTAAATAATATACAGGAGAATGTAAGTGTTTGGTAATTGACGATCCCACTTCTCATCTATAATATCTCATATTTCTAAGTAGGCATCTTGACCGTCGAAATCTCTTGCTATATATTTTTAGCCTTATTCATTGCTTCATAAATAAATCTCATAGCTGAGGCCTTCTCACCATCAATCATTTGAAACACCTTAACTAAAGGTCTTGTTGTCTTCAACGAATAATTTATACTACGCCAAAACAAATCATATTTCATACTATGTAGCAACATGTAAGTGTTGGTGAATTTCGGTCACCAAGTAGTATTAAGCATTGTCACAAGTAATAATTATCATTGATTGATGACATATATCAACATAAATTGATGACATATATCAAATTTTTTTCATTGAAAGATTTACAATTCCCAAGCCCTAGAATTATTTAAATCAAAAACTACTCAATTCTTTTAATGGCACTAAAACTTATTGTTTATCCCTTTTATTTGCAAAGCTAACAGAAGCTCGAGGAAGGTGAGCGGCAAAAAAAATCAAAGAAGTCACGTTCTATGTTTGGTTCCAATTTGATTGTGTAAAATGATTATTTGTAATGTGTGAAGTACCGTTTAATTGTAATAAAAAAGTTCATCAATCTACTTATTATTTGATATCATATGATTATTTAAAAATTATATTTGGATCATATATAAATTGCCAAACATATATTAATTATCATATATAAATTAAAAAATCAATTATGGATACATCCTACAATCTATCTCTAAGGAAATCGTTCATATCTATCTCTAAGGAAGGATTAATCCTACATCTTCAAAAAAAAATTTCACATAATATTATCATCTCCCTTATTGTTTATTGGTCTTTATTTGATACATCCTACAATCTCTAACTAACTTCAATGGAGATTTGATGCCCTGAAATAGATGTTATAGTTTGTATTAAAAAATGTTGATAATATTAATTTTATCAATCAAATTGACCGACATATATAACTCTTAATGTCTTTATAATTTCCCTTTAATGGAGATTTGATCGAAATCAACTCTACTCTAAGTAAGTGTTTTTACAAAATAGTCGGAACAATCATCTACCTCAAATATTTTGCTGAAAATGTTCATTTTAATCCAGTAATACAGTAACTTACCTATTTTTGTGGGCCTATAAATATTGTATTTATTAAGGAGTTAAATGGATCAAGGATATGCATCAAATACAATGAAAAAATATCGTAACTTGTAGTAACTTACAGTAATTTGTATTTGATAAAATCAATATATAATCAAACTCAATGAAAAAAAATACTATTTTAAATGAAAATGAGAATACATAAATACAACTATAAAATTAACATTATCAATCGATGAACAGGAGTAAGGAACACTACATTCGCTACAGCAGGCGAAAAGCAGGCGAAGAAGACGAAGCAAATGATGAAAGGGAATTAGGGAAAAAAATCGTTACCGACGTTGTGAAGTACACCAAAGTCGATCAGATTGTGGCTGTTAAAGTCGGCGAAGGAGTTAGTTTTCAAAACTCCTCCATTCTCACATGAAGCACTCACAGGCAACAAGCAGGAGAAGAGGAAGCACATGACAGGAAGAAAGATCATCACCTACATTGCGATCTTCGACTTTACACGAAGCAAAACTCTAGCAAGTAGGAAATGAACCCGCAAAACCGCACGAAAGAAAATAAATCATTACCTTCAACTTGAGGTACATCGAAGTCGACTGGGCAGTGGTTGTTGAAGTCGACTGGACTGTGACTCGAGGTACATCCTCCCCTAATCCTTATACTCGACTCATATACTTAATTCCATCGCTTGCGTTATATATAACAAATAAACTGAGGCGGTGCCTCAATACGCCTCGAGGCGCTCTGAATTGAGGCGTATGTTTCGTGAGAAAAAAATCACACACTTCGCCCGAGCCATTGCCTCATCCGCCTTTTTATTCCATGGCTGGAACACTTCTGATACTGCCACTTGAAACTTAAAAGGAAAAGGCTAATATCATCTAAAAGAGTCGAGTATAAGGATCATATGTCAAAACATGCACTCAAACCTAAAAGACCACATATAGGTAAAAAGTGCTGCTAAGTTTTATGATGGATGTTCACATTTCACCTAAAAGGCAAATCTCACATAGCAATCAGATTCATTTGTAGATGAACTAACCCCACCCGTTCTCTATAGAAAATTGTATCACCTTAAATCATATCACCCTAACTTAAATCTGATCATGCTTTTGCAAAATTTTCGAGACCATAAAGCTTGCTCTGAGACCACTTTCTGTCACACACCATGCCAACCCGCCTCCCAACAGTCAACATGGAATGCAACAGAAGAAGAGACTGTAAATGACTTGCCTTATACCACATTACCTTCAATATAATTATTGCCATTCAAATGCAACATCATTATAAAAGATATCATAACTAAAAACATCAACCATAAGAGAAAGTTTACCTAATTTTATTTCCAAAATTTTCATCTACAGAGTAACTACAGGAAAACTAAACCATGTATAACCACTGACCTCAATCCAAAACTTCCTTACATTGACAAAAGTAAACTTAAAATAAAAATTAAATCCGGTACTATTCTGGTTCAACTTTGTCATTATATTTTACAGTAATAATAGCCAAAATGACAATCTGGTAAGCTATGACGCCCATAAAAATATACAACTATAATACAATAATCTACAGAAAAAAAAACAATAATTAACATATGCATCAATGAATGAATGTAAGAAAAAAAATGCATGTAACCATTTAATAGGAATTAGGCACAATATGTTATAATGTAACAGGTGAAAATATTATTATAGGTAGGAAGTATGCGGAATGTAATATTAATATATCACATTAAACAAGATGCATTCAATATGAAAATGATATATTATTCGTAAATATTGTCTAGTGTTTTCAATATGTTCATCATACATTACTATAAGTAATTATAAATATATTCCAATTCATTTCATAATTCCCCTTTTAGTAATTCCCCTTTCAGTCTCAAAAAGTGTCATGTCAAGATGTTAGATCTAGGTCTAGAGCCCATAGGCCCCTAAGGTCACACTGTCTCTTGAGGTTGTACTACCTATATCGCCCGTATGCTTCATAACCCATAGGACTCATATCATATCATGTAGGCTTCATATCAAAATTGCACTTGCTTATATTAGGTCACGCTGCCCCCACTCGTCTATCACTAACATGATATTTTCTCAGCCTTACCTCATTAGTTTTTCTTCTCTAGGTTGTATGACATTGGACTATAAATAAATATAGATATGCATTCAAGTATGCAACTTGATAGGACGGTCAGATGTATCATTATATAAGCAAATATGACTGCATGAATCATATGTGAACAAATCATCATATGACAGAATTGTACATAGCAACATAATATAACAAATTTTTCGATTACAGAAAGTTACACATGGAATGATTGTATGGCTCATAATTTCAAGCTAAACCCAACAGTTAATAGTACACAGACACCTACCACGCACAACTAATTTAAATGCATGCATATAAATAATACCCAATCAACTTGCATACTTTATTATAATACATATCTCACCTCCTTGACGCACTAACTCACCAAGGAAGACACCTCGCGTCCACCTTCCAAATTTCACATCGTATACACAACTCCGACCACACTACGAATATCCTTTTCTCTATATTATCTTCTTCATCTTTCTTTCTCTTGTTTTTCTTCTCTACTTCCTACTTTCCTTACTCCTATTCTTATCTATTTTTTTCTCAAGTGATTTCTTCTCCTGCATTTATTAGGCCAGCAACCACGATCAACTCCCACAGCATCCTACCCGAGCTCTAGCTCCCTCCAGTTGCAATCTTAAGCCCCAACCCTAGAGAAGCTGGGGTAGAAAGGCTTCAATAGTGGATGATATACGGCAAGGTTTAAAATTGCGTAAATAAGCCTAGAGGCGTTTTTCGTCCGTGAGGCGAGGCGTAAGCCTTGAGGCGGTGTGAGGAGTAAGCCTCACCGACGAAGAATTGCGTAAATGAGAATTTAAGGGTTTTAGCAAGTAAAAAATAGTAAGATTCCATCATACAATAAAAACATCTAAATGACAATTAAAATTAGGGGAAAGTAAGAAAATAAATGCAATAAAATCATGTCCCAAAGTACAAAATCACAAAATATTAGTCTATCAAAACTCCCAAAGTACAATTAAGAAAGAACATATATAATCCAATCATGTCATATTTGAGGCGTACGCCTCAGCCAGAATTGCGCAATTGCGCCTCTGAGGCGCGCCTCAGTCCAAGTGAGGCGTACGCCTCTGCCAGGAGAGGAATTGTGTAAGCCTTGAGGTGGTTTTGGGTCAAATTGCGCAGAGGCGCGCCTCTTATTGCGCAATTTTAAACAGAGATATACGGAACTAAAAGATTAATTAATCGCCAATTTACTGATCTACCCTTAACTCAACCTTTGCATGCACTCCAAGTGTCGGCACTTATACCGCTGTACAGTAAATTTGATTTATAACAGAAAAGGATTTATTAACTAAGGAGAAAATACAAATGAGATTTAATTTCCTAACTTTTACTCCTTCGCAATTCGACATATAGTTGCTCCAATCAACAAGTAGAAAACAATGACATCAAATTTAGTGATTTTCATGAAAATTAATATTTTGGGTTATCATTTCATAAAGCAGATTTTGTACATACCTTCGAAATTTTGGGTATTACACTTTCTCCCTCATACGAGCTAAAGAAGAAAGAAGGAAGATAATACTCGTGTCACGACCCGGGCCGGATGCTCGACTTAACGAGGCGGGAACGAAAGTCGGACGGTATGATCAAAACATTTTAATTCATAAGTAATTCAACATTTAAAACATCAAATTTTTCTCCTTTTTATCTGAAGAGTCACTAACAAAATCCTTAAATATTTAACATTTGTAAATATCATAATTTATATGTTTTTAGTATTGCTTCGTCTTCTATAAACAAATTCTTCCCTTTCTGCCATCTCATATCCTTGGTATCTTACCTGAAACATTTATTTAATAGAATGAGTTTACAAAGTAAACTTAGTGGATAACTGTTAAAACAATTAACATGAAATAAAATATACATTACATATAACCCTTAATATACTTCTTATTTATTTCTCTTCCTTATATTTATTTCATTCATTTCAGTCATATATACATATCATATTACAGTTCTTTATAATATTTATAGAGCTATAATATTTATTCATTTTTCTCTTTCATTTGTACATGAATACCATCTAAATCTATCGAAGGTACAAACATTTTCTTTTTTCTTTTTTTTTTCATAACATTTTGATGAGGACATTAGTCAAAGATTTCGACAAGTGTACCATCGGAGGAATCGTAGATCGACGGCTATGATTCGGAGTCTATATTTTTTATGTATTTTCTATTTAGTATTTTCAGTTTACTAGTTTACCCCTAGGGGTGTTGAGTCTTTGTTGTAGTCTATGGGGCATATGAGTCACTTTGTTTTCTTTTGTTGTGACATATATATATAGGTCCTTATCATTGTATAAGGTAAATGTTGAATCAATAGAAAATTCCAGATTTTGAGTTCATGGTTTTGTGAGCTTGATAGGACAGGAGTAGCCTAGGAGAGGCTCAAAAGAAATACCCAACAGCCCCCTTCGTGGGAGCTCTTGGTTCTTTTTATTTTCTTTCTTTTCTTCCTGTTTCTCCTAGCCGTTGGCAACCCCAAATCCACCTACTTACCACCGGCCAACAACCCCCACGCCTCCCTCTTCCCTTAGCCACCGAATCCCGCCCTCCATCACCCGCCCGGCCCAAATCCCCCACCCCCTTCCACCGGAGCAAACACCTAAGCCGCCGGCCCCCCATTGAGTCCCCACCAGCTGGCCAACCAAAGGCCAAGCCTTGGAATTTGAATTTCAAATTCAAGTAAGCTTTCATTGCTTTCCTAAATTGTCCCCTTGTCGTTTAGGAAGTTTCCTAATTGAAATTCAATTTGAATTTGAATTTCAAATACCTTCCAAAATGATAAAACCCAATTAGGAAACCATTCAAATCTAATCAAATCTGAATTTAATTCAGAATTTGATTTAATTAGTTATTCAATCACCCATGCCCCACTTACATTGAATCTAGACACAAATTTAAACCCCCATAGGGCCGGCCCCCTCTCTCTCCCCTCTCTCTCTCCACTTTGCCACCTAAGCAACAATTAATCCCTCCCTAAATTCCCTAATAGCCACCGGCCCATTAATCTCTTAATTGGGTTGATTTGAATTTCAATTTGGCTCTCCCTCTCTAATGAAAATCTTAAATTTAGAATAAGATTTTTCCTCTCACCTTCTCCCCCCAAACCACTTGGCTTAACCCAAAAGAAACCCTAACCCTAGCCGCCCCTCACCCTCCCCAAGTCATCACCCATCATCCTTTCCCTTCCTCCTCACAAATCTCAAGCTTGTTCTTCTCCAACCGCCACCACCGCTATGCATGGCCAATCAAGAAGTTGACCATGGCTTCTTATATGATAATCAAGGATGAACAAACATTCTCGAATCTCCTTTCTTCGACGTGAACCTAGACGTGGATGCTTCTGTGGAAGATTATTTAAATCGCATCCTTTTCACGCCGGTACCTTCTATCATAGAGCAAATTCCTACCATGCGTTGGATACTCACTAGTCAACTCGTGGATTCCCGTCACCGGCCACCTCTCCAACGAACTACACCTTGGGTGTCATTTGTCTTCTAGTGGCAATGTGGCATCGCTAAGCATGTTCTCAATCTTCCTCAACTAAAGTACTTCCACC